TCCCAATATCTGCAGACGGATCCGTTTCGGCCTTCCAGGCCTCATCAGTGCAGCTAGGGTATAGACCCAAACGAAACGTTCCACCAGCTTAGGTAGGGCCCAAACTAGTCCCACGACCACTAATGATTACAGAACCAAACCAAGGCAATATACACAACCCAGGTGTGAATGCAAATAGTGGAATACAAGCTATGTGGCTCGGTTCCAGTAGATACAGAGAATATTTTGTCATTCTTAACGCGTCCTACGAAATTCTTACGAGACAGCACTAGTCAGTGAATTTGTGAACAAGATCGGAGATCTAAAGATGCAATCTCTACCGTGCATCAATGGCGGCCCGCTGGATCTCAATAGAGATTCTTTAATAATATATAAATTTTAAAAGGCAAATGGGAAAAACCCATAAAACAGCAAACGGCCACATAATGGCATATTCTTGCCATTTTCTTGGCTATGTTTTTAGCACATCTTAACCTTTGAAGATTTTCACAGCTGGGATTGTTCTTGTATTCTTTTAGTTTATTTCCTTTTTCTTCTATGAACATTCCAGAATGTTATTTTTTGCTTCCAACCAATCTTCACTTTAACTTACTATAGTTTGACTGTAACTTGATGAAGGTCTATGACTGAAAGATCTCAAAGATGATACTACTTTCAATTTCAATTTCAATTTAATGGATAAAATACCCAACGGTGCATCCAAATATAAGAAAAATAAACTTAAACTAGAAGTAAATTAAACTAAAATGTATATACAAATTAAAATTTATCAACATGGCATGTAGGCCTATGTATTACGGTAGTCTTACAGTATCGTATTATTTACAGAGTTGCAGTATTTATTGTAAGTTAATACATAGTTAAAACTAATAGACCACATATGGGTTCACATTTTAAACTACAGTAACACATTTAAAGGGAATATAAACACTATGTATGATAAAACTACTTATCAAACACAATCAAATATTTGTTCATCAAGGCGTGTATATGTACGATGAATTTAAAATGAATTTCCTGGTAGACATTAAGGACTTACTGTAATGTAAACATGATAAATTATTTCAGTACTGTAAGGTTAATGAGTCAATGACCTCATAGCCAAAACCTAAGTCTTCAATCAATCAAGCAATCAAAGTAACATTTATTTTCTTATTCTTTTCTCTTTTAAGTTGAATAAAAAAAAAGTACAATGTGAAGCAAGGTAAATTATTTGAAGAGAACATAGCCAAAAAGGCAAAATTTTGTGGCAGGCATGTCTAAACATTGAAAAAATAATAAATAAGTAAATATACAAATAAATGAATAAATAAAAAGCACTTTAAAAAGTAAGAAAAGTACGAAGTTAATTACAAGAAACTTCGTCTGACACGGGTACGAGTTAATTATCTTAAAATAAAAATTAAATCAAGTAAGTAGATATAAAATATTTTTAAAGTTTAACAGAAGCTTTTCCTGGAGACAGATTCTTTTACATATAATGGTAAGCTATTCCAAAGTTTGGGTCCACTAAATCTTATATTATATTGAAAAAAATAATGTTTGAGAGCGAAATCAAAGGTAATGCCAAGGAACATTGGAATAATATGATTATTAATTTTAATCTGTTTAAAATCCAAAATTAAAGGTTTGTGGGGGTTTCTAAGCAGGATAGAACAGCATGTCTTAATATTAAGAGAGAGTTTATATGCCGAAAAATAATCACACGTTTAGTTAGTTCACGATTAGTAACCTCAGAGCATGAATGCTTTTGTTAGAACACAGAAGTGTAGTATCGTTAGCCTAAAGGAAGAACGAAAATAATGTGGAGGACGTACAAATATCATTTAAGTATAAGGAAAATAATAGAGGGGCCAGGCAGTGTTCTTGGGGACGCCACATGTCATTGGTAGAAAATGATACCAATGTTTTTGGAAAATTTACTTTCAATATCTGTTATATGTGATTTCCAATTGAGAGCGAAATCAATGGTAATGCCAAGGAATTTCTTATTTTCGACTAGTGGAATAATATGATTATTAATTTTAATCTGTCTAAAATCCAAAATAAAAGGTTTGTGGGGGTTTCTAAGCAGGATAGAACAGCATTTCTTAATATTAAGAGAGAGTGTTTATTTGCCGAAAAATAATCACACGTTTAGTAGTTCACGATTAGTAACCTCAGAGCATGAATACTTTTGTTAGAACACATGAGTGTAGTATTAATTTAATACATACTATTTCGTATAATGTCTTAGTACTATTTGCCTCGTTGGTCAGTGTGAACTACTTCAGCACGTTAATTGAAACGAGCACATGTTGTTGGCCCAAATTTCTATTTCTTGCTTTGTTACAATCTAATTCTAAATTTAAAAATCAAAACCAGTCTGATGATGTTTTCAATGCACTACTAAATAGCGACGAATAGGCCTATATTTATTCTGAAAGTTTTATTTAGGTTAATAAAATATGGAGAGGTGATGTTCAAAACAAATCATTCCTTGTAGTTTATGCATTCTTAAAGCCGTATCCTATTAGAACATTGCCCTATTGATAAAACTAACTTTGAGTGGTTTGCATTAAAATTAAGATCAAATGTGCTACCACTATATATGTTTCAGAACATTGGTCCACAAATGGAAAATGTACCCTACTATGCAATTTAAATAATGAGTAAATATTTACATTGTTTAGGGAGGAGAGAAAGAGGACACTTTGTATTTTGCATTGTTTCTGAAAATAAGGGGTTTAGTTTTAGTACAGTTTTACTCCGTGGTGAGGGATGACATTACAATTATCAGGGAAGCAGGGTGAGAGAGGAAAGGATTATTCTAGGCTGTTTTGAGTTGATTTTAAATTCTAGGTATTCTTGTAATCATTTTGTCTATTGGTTTTAGGTTTCCGACACACCTTTGTCCTGATAACTCTCATCAGGGCTTGTACCTGATCTGGTGCCTTTAAATGTCTTTAATGTGACACTTTATCTGGGTGTCTTCACACAATTGTCCAGTCTATTTCCCGTAGGCTACAAAAGAACTTATTCTTGTAAAGATCGTCAAAGAAGAGCGAAAAAATAAAAATAAATTTGGTTTTCTCATTTAGCAAAATGATTTTGTCAAATCAATCTAGGCGTAGAGGAAAATATAAATAATTGTATTAATGAATTAACTATAAATTAAAGATAAATGCTCTAAATTTATATAATATAGAAAGAAAAATAGGCCTCGTTTTGCAGTATTTAACCGTTTCTGAAGCAAAGATATCTTCTGTAGTGATAAACTCGCCAGCAAACAAAAAATTTTCGGTATGTCACAAAATAACGTTCACACAACGTTGTATGAACGTTCAAACGTTGTGACTTTGTGAAATTTGGTTAATTAGTACATACATATGGTTCTACAAAATAACGTTCTTATCACCAAACAGTAACGTTATTATAACGTTCTTAGAACTTCGCTTCATAGCGGAAACGTCGCTTGAAGTACCGTTGGTTACCTTTTCATATTTGTTGTGTTGTTCTTTCATCTTTTCTATGTCTGTATTAAGTTTATTAAAGACATCGTTGTTTACAGTGCTTTTACTTTCTTTTGATATTTTTATTTTATGTTTTTCGCTTTCAGGTTTGAGTTCGGTATTTTTCAGTTATTGTCTCGGCGATTTGGTTTAGATCTTCTCTTAGAGTAGTAACTTCTTTTTCAGTACTTCGTTCTCCTTTACAAGTATTTCATTTCCTGCTCTTCAATTTAAATAAGGTGATCAATGCAGGGGTAACGCCAGTGTTTTTCATTCACATATCGTTTTTTTTATTTCACATTTGTTTTTTTATTTGCAGCCCTATGATTTTCAATTGGCCTGTGTTTGATTGAAATCCTTTATTGTGTGAGTTTAAGTTTCTCTGTACTGTTTAGCGTTTAAGTATGCCTAGTTTTACGTTTGTTTTATTTTTGTTAAAACTATTAATTTGGATGCACCACGTTTGTAAGTTATTTCCTAATAAATTGATTGATTGATTGATTGATTGATTGATTGATTGCAGCTTTCAGTGCATAGCTACACGTCTGTGTCTGAGAAAAGGAATTCTTCAACTTTTCCTTGTCTTTTTCAAGGTGGTAGGTCGCCTGGTAGAAACCATATGTTCAGACGTCATATTCAACACAAATACTGCAGACAAGAGATAATTTTGTTTATAGTATGATTATTTATGGTCAATATAGCATGTAGGGTGTTTTGACGCTATATCAACAAAATTGGCCTGAACCGAAAGTTAGATAACAAGTTAAGATAAATATGATCCTATCTCACTAGTATTTGTTCTTGAAACTATCAGCTTCCAGAATAACCTGATTATTTTTTGAGTAAATATAATATAATCTTGAGATTTGAGGGTGTAAATCTCAAAACTTCTAAGCAAACACGTCCGATATACACGAAATCGAAGGCCCCCTCGATTCAACATACGTACTGCGCAACATTCGAATTAGGAAACGTTTACTTTGGATTAATTTTTGTTTTCAGTGACTAAAGTTCATAACTAACTATCCGTGCATAATTTTTTCTTAAACAGCCAATGACAGGAGGTGCACAACTTATCTTTTAGGACGTTATATTACTTGACCAATAAGAATTAGGCTAAGATGTATATTAATGTGTTTCTAATTTTGCGTACGCAATACAGTTTGAAGACCTCAACTTTGCTTTGCCGATTCTAGTCGCAACATAGCAACAACTTGAACAACTTCTTTATAGCCTGCAAGTCATTGTGAGTTTCATTCATATGTAATATTTGTTTATTTGTGTAATGTTAGATTTTGATATTATTATTAGTTTTTCGTATTTCATGACTCCATCATTTCTTTACTTTCGCTTCGCAATTCTGACCGTCTCAAAATCGTTAAAAAAAACATTGCAAAACCTAAGATTGTACTGCAATCGAATTGTTCCCACGTGAAACCAACTTATATCCTATACGTTAAAACCTATCCTATATCTGGTTTTAGGCGAGCCTTAAAGCACAATTTGAGCTTCTGTTTGTTATCAAATTTGACCCGGCTAGAAGTATCTAGAAGTCTTGAAATGGGGTTGCTGATGGGGGCGCGAAGGGATGGGGTACGATGATCTGTTGAGGGGCGCTAACTCGGTTTGCATAAGAATAATTTTTATCAAAAAGAAGACTAACTTTACTTTGGTAAACTCATACCGTTGTTCGGACATGACTAAAATTTGGTCATATACAACGTATTCGAAATTCCAACTTACGACTAAAGCAAGTCCTAGATTTAATTCAGCTGAAGACGGCTGGCAAACTACGACTATCAAACTAAATAATAAAAAGAGTTTTAAAAATTCTTGTTATATTATGTGAGACACAGACTTGCCCGAAATCCTACAGTGTTATTTTTGTCTTATTATGGACAGCGGTACCAACGAATTAGTTAAATTAAAAAGAAAACGAGGTCGCAGATTAAATATGGTATGCATGATACTAAAGAGTGAGTCACCCTAAATTAAGACCTGGAACCCAGGTTATGTGAGATACTGTAATCTGTGGTCCACTAAATTATAATGATGATAATGATGGTGGTGGTTGTAGTGATGATGATAAAGATAGTGTAATAAAGTCTCTTGTTTTGTTATATGACAGGTAAGCATTCTGTTCATTTACGCATATACATTTATGCATTGCGCTTATAAAAAAAAAATCAGAACAACGGTAAGAAAGTGCCCAGTCGCCTGCGACTGACTGGGTAACAAACCAACAACTGCTTTGTTTAAGCAGCAGGGCTGGGAATGCAGAGGTCGTAGGTAAACAGTGCCATGTGGCCGGGAACAGATCCAGTGATATACGACGGAAGTCATTATTTTTTCCTCAATTAATCTAAAATATGGATTAATATTTATTTTGAGAGATCGGGACTTTGATGATTTAGGCCTATGTTGTAGTATTTTTCAGACCGAATCCAAGACATGTATTGAGTACTTCGGTTTTCAAACTTTGAAATAAGCGTTATTATAGTATAGATGCGTGACATACAAAAAGCTGATTTCTGATAATTTAACTTGAATCAAGTTTTATCTTATTTCTCTAACTGTAGTCCTTCAAAACTTTAAAAAATACTATTGAAATGATTTTCAGATAGATTGGTCATGTACATTATTAGGTCTAAAAAAGGTGGAAAAAGGTTTTTTCAATAAGTTAGGGGTGGGTATAATGAGGGCAAACAATTGTTTAGGCCTTATGACAATACATTTTTTTCAGTTTTCAGTACATAAGAAGCAATGATGAATTTTGCATTGACAACTGTACTCATTCTGGCATCCCTTGGCTCTGGTAAGTATCGGCCTAATAATTTAAAAGGTTATCGTTGTATAATACATACACTTTTGGAAGTCTTCCTCCAAAATAATGTTTATGCAAAAATAAGACAAATCTTAAAGATTATGAAAAATAAATACAAAATAAAAAGAATAAATATAACCTAATTTTTCTTTGTTTAAAATATAATAATTTGTTATTAATTTTAACTACTTACTATTTCAATTAGGTACTATAAAATATATAAACTTCAAAATTTTGAATAGAATAAAATACTAAGGCAATTACTTTTAAATAAAAACAAATTGAAAGAACAAGTTTTTGCTAATTTACATACGTTTATTTCTATAAAAATCAGGTAATTTAAAAGAAATATACAAATTACGTAATTCAAATTTGAAATTGAATTTTCAGCTCATGACAGACAGTGCAAGTTTTTTCAGTGTTATTAAAACATAATATTTATGCCTTAATTTGTAGTTTGTAATGTAGATTTTCACGTGCTTTTAGGAAGGGTTCTTATAAGTGGCGCGCCCAAAAGTCTTGAAACGGTGGGGGGGATAATGGTGACGCGAAAGTTGGGGCTTAATGATTAGGAAAAGGGCGCTAGCACGCAAAATAAAGTAGTTTGAGGTTATTTTTTAACTTCTTGACTATTTTTCTTTGATTATGGCGGCTGGGGCGCGAGTATATTTATAGAGGATTTTGATACGCCACAGTTTTTTTGTTTGTTTTTGTTTTTGTATTTATTTTCTATTGTAGTCTTGTATATAATCAAAATTTTATTTTCTTTAGCTAAGGCTCTTCAATGCTACTATTACCCATGCAAAAATGGTACAGTTGATCCTTCCTGCGGGAAATTTGGAACACCTATGCTTTGTTATATGAATCAAGTTTGTGCGGTACGTAAACATAGTCAAAAATTTAAGCTTTGCTAGCATTCAAAACTAGTGGGTTGTCAGGAAAATCAGAAATCATTATTTTTTTTTAATTGTTTGTTAGGCCTAATGTTTATTTTTTGTAATTGTTTATTTTTGTATATTTTGATTTTTTAATTGTTTTATTAGTGATTTCACAATTATTGTCTTTTATTATTGTTATTTATCACTATGTTATTATTATTATTATTATTATTATTATTATTTATTATTATTATTTACTATTCATTATTTATTACTTGTTATTTACTATTATTAATTGTTATTGTTTTAAGCAATTTGTAGCACGAGTTGTAACCCATCGTGGTAGAAGGTCATTCTACCTATTTGTCGTTACCCATGGTAGACACTGAAAACTTAGCTGTTTCTAGTAGGTCTGTTGGGTTAGGTTATACTAGGCCTATGTGTTAGAATATGAGATTAATTATTACAACTTTAATTGCTTTCTATTAACTGAACAGTGTACTTTGGGTTCAGAGATATGTTTGTATGTCTTGAGCTATGTCGATAATGATACGACCTCTGACTTTGTGCAGATTAAAACAAATTTGCATTAATCGTTCTTTTTTGGCTACCGCCTATATACTCGTTAAAAAAAAGTTAAACGACAAAAGAAGATGGGTTCCTTCCTGTGCACTCTGGACGGTAGAAGTAAGCCTATAGATTTAAAAATGATTTATTGGTGTTTTTTCTTGTCTACTAACTTGAACATCCCGTTTCTCATAAAATTTCTAGTCATATGCACTACACCGACATGATTCCGGTAATGAGTGTCAGGTATACGAACAGGAAAAAAAAAACACAGAAAAACGAAACTCTGTTTTCCGAGTTCATTTTGCTTCGTCAATTGTGTTGGCGGTATTTATATATATACATTGATAATGAAAAGTTAAAGTACCAACGAAAAGCGGTCCTAAAAATACAATGGGCATAGCATGCTTGCCAAGCATGACCTATTGATTAGGAGAACATATTCGATGCTACCCAAATTCCTTTTACTAATGGCACGGCCCACTGAAATTTCCTGTGACGGCCTTAGTTTCCCGACAGCTGCTCAACATGACGCTTCATGCATTACAGGCCTACACTTTTCAGTCTATTTTAGTATGAAACACGTGAATTACTACGCAATATTATTTTTTACTCTTTTAATCTAATTCAATTCCACTTATATGTTTAAAATGATAGTTGGCCATTGCAATTTAAATATTGCCGATTCAATTTAATTTAACTTTTATTTTGGGATATCAAGTTTATATAGAGAGATCAAATAAAAATAAAAGTAAAACTTACACTAAGCAAATATAAAAGTTGTTTGATCAACACAGAAGATAGTAAGTTTACGTTCAAATTTGACAGGCTCACATAATGGCCCTTGAAGCTGATATTGTTGCTAAAGGTCCCATAAAATGACAGTGTAACCAAAGAACTTAAATAGCAGAAGAATGAGCTGCTCCGCGTATTTGCATTAAAATAGATGGAACATTTGCCCTCCTGCGGATTTAGATAAAAATTTGAACATTTTACTAAGTGGAGAAACTAAAGGAAACAAACGAACAAGAGCAGCGCCTTTATTATTGCTATATAGCGCCGCCGTGCGGATGCAGTAAAATTACTCTCCGTGTACCCACAATGCCCTTTGAACGGATGTTCCACCATATTGGGAAGCTGCTCTATCTTCTGCTATTTATTATCTTTGGTGTAACAACCATAGAATTATAATAAGAATAATACTAAGAGTGATAACTAAAAATTGTTCAAAAATAAACAATGTGGTACAACGCGCACGTGTTTTTGTGAGACACGCGTATTCCTGGCCCTTAAGTTTGATTGACACTCTGGGAAGGTTCAATAGCACCATCTGTCAGTCAATACTGTCATTTACAGTAAATTAATCTTAAATTAGGAGGCCTGGTGATACTGTTCTGTGATAGGCTCAATTTTACAATCGAATGTGTTGTGACAGTGAAATGGTAATGAAAATATTATTTAAGTACAGCAAAAACTAGTACTGTGCTTTATTTAAATATTATATCAGCATAGAGTCATGATAGTGTGTGTGTTGATTAATATGAACTTCTGTTGCTTTCTTTCCAGAAATACGATGCAGTTGACGGTAAGGTCTATCGTGGTTGCAGGAATTTAAAAAACGCACAAGATAATAACCAATGCTTTGATTATAATAATGCCGAGTTGAAAAGGATGTGCTTATGCTCTACTAGTTTATGCAATAGTGCATTGAAGAACAATGTTGGTTTTTTCTTAGCCTTTGTTGCCTTTCTGGCCGCTAAGTTTTTGTAGAGCTACTGACATCTCTTTAATATTACAGTGTTCTTTGTGTCATTTTTGAAAGCACACGTGCTCTATATTTTGCATGTTTCGAAATTGACTTGTTTGGGACCGCTATTGAAACACCTTTGACTAATAGAACTGTCTCCTGTTTCCACTTGAATATTGCTTGTTTCATTTTTACTGTGCTTTTGTAGTTAGCTAAAACTTAATAGCATAATGTAATCCACATGTGTTTCTTAGATATATAACTTCATTACAATATCATTATAATTACAGCTCCCAATTAGTTTTATTTGTTACTTAATCCATACTTACTCCGCCCTTAATAGCATAATGTAATCCACATGTGTTTCTTAGATTATATAACTTTATTATTATATCAATATAATTACAGCTCCCAATTAGCTTTATTTGTTACCTAATCCTACTACTTACTCCACCCTTAGCATTTTTGTCTTATCACACATGAACTTTATATATTTACTTAATTTGTTAAACAATCATATTATATTTTACACTTTATTAAGATTTTTGTAATAGCCAAGTTATATTTCAGTTGTTACACATGCTAAAAAAGACCCGAGGACGGGTTGAATTCATGTTTTTGAATAAATTTTGTGTTCTAAAGTCTACTAAATCTTATCTCGATCGGCCCCACTTTCCCCCCCCCCCACTTTTTTTGGATTTCTGAATCCGCCCCTTAAAATCGATTTAATAAGCCTTTGAAACCGCAAAATTGTCATATTTTTCGGGCCCTGGAACACTTTCGAGAGATTTTGAGCGCGCCCGACCACGCCCACTTTTTTCGTCGATGACATCGGTCCTGGCGCCACCCCTGTATATTACAGTGGTCTCACCAGCTATACTCAAGCGTGGCGGGGACGCTTTGGGCAAAAAAAAAAACGAAATGACCGTCACGCTTAGGCAAAAAAGGCAAAGATTGGACCACGCTTCAAATATTATCCCAAAGTAAAAACTAGTAGATTTTATTTAAAACGTAACAACAATAAATACAGAAAAAAAATGTTCCCATTTCTCTATGTACAGTACTTGTTCAGTCGCATACCGTGAGGCACCGTCTTCAATGCAAGCCCAACCACAGGATCACTTTGTACGCCGCCTGTGCATACGGGTAGCTACCTGTGAACTCATTGAGGTCCCTGGGCGATTGGGAGGACCATGGGGTTAAACATGGAGTCCCGACGATCTTATGATCGCGAAATACGATAATTTTTACACCGGTGGCCGGCCGCAAATGTTGTTGGGTCAGTTCTCTCTATACTAAAATGAAAAACTATAGTCAGATTTTAGTAACAATGTCATTTATGATTTAAGGAAAAGGGAAGAGGGAAAAGAAAATGATACATCCCAAATAACTCGTTGCTCTGCACATAGCATCGTCAACACCATTACTCAGATTGTTGATTACTGGTTCGTGCCCATACCTGCTGTGAAAACATATTGGAAAGTGATTTTTGAGGAGCCATTGCTCCGGCGATTTACATACGTGACTGCTGTCGAAATACAAAAGTATTTTAGTTGGTTCCTCTTATTTAAAAAAAAAACAAAAAAACAAACAAAAAAATACAAACTATTTTTACAGAAATAATAATTACCACTTTTAAAGTATTGTAATTAAAGATTATAATTAAAGATTATAACTTTTTGAACACATAATTCAAGGAACATAATATAGGCCTACAGTATTAAATCATTTTACTTTCAACTAGGGATTGTAAAAAAATGTGACAACCACTTACACAAAATACACTAACCAGCCAACCGGAAATTGACCTGCCAATTCCTTACTTCTTCTTGTTAAATACACGGGAAAATTTTACTTTTATAATTGGAAAAAAATTGGTGTTGAAAAAAAAATATTATGCAAATATTTAATGGTTCTTAGCGTCAAAAGTTTAAAAATATAAAGATGCATTAAATATATTCCCAATCAGTTCCAAACAATTGAAGTTAAAAAACGCTCTACAGATTAAAGGTAATTGCACTAATTTGAACATTCATCACATAGCTATTGTTATCTTCTTACGGTATACGGTAAACTTATTATTTAAATGGTCCTCATATCCACACCCTACTATGGATCGTGATCAACATTTAAACAATTCTTCATTAAAATATGACGAAATATTCTTGAATTTGTTACTTTTATTGATTGAACCATTTTCGAAATGTTTAGGTGTGGGACCTTGTGGCCCTCAATGCACACCCGAAATTTGATCGTCACCAGCACTTCATAATTTCTTTCTTGTAACTTGGTTAATTTTATCTAGTCTGGAACGTTTTTTTTAAGGTCCTCATATACACACCCTACTCCAGATGGTCATCAAAATTAAACATTTTTTCATCGAAACATGGCAAAACTATTCTGGGTAGTGTAATTTAGAGACCTCGATTATTTTTAAAGATATTAAGGTCTAGGACCTTACGAGTTCAAATGGCCCTCAAATGCACATTTGAATTTGGATCGTCACCAAAACTTAATGATTTCTTCCTTGTAACTTGCTTAAAACTTTCACAAAGCTTCATTTATGATAGACTGATTATTTTTTTTGAAAAATCTGGTTTGGGACGTTTTCCTTTAAATCTTTCTCATATCCACACCGTACTCCAGGTCGTTACCAAAAGGTAATCACCTCATCCTTCAGTCATACATAACAATCCTTTTAAATTGCGTTTAAAATGTGTGTAGCTGTTTTTTTTAATAGATATTTTGAACACAAGAAACGTGTACGACCTTAGAAATTAAAATGACCTTTAAGCTCTTAACCCCTGAATTTGTATCGTCACCAGCACTTAATAATTTCTTTGTAACTTGGTTAAACTTTGTTGATTAGTTTTTGAAATATCTTGTCTAGAACGGTAATCCCTTTAAATGGCCCTCACATCCACATCCTACTCCGGACCGTCACCAACATTTAATCTTCTTCATTGAATTGAAACCAAAAGTTGAATTTGGTCCCATAGCATTATCACTCAGAATAAATATATGTCTATTACCTGTAATGGAAGATTTTTTTCCAAACATTACCAGTAAAACATTTATTAGCGAAAACCTGTTTTTTGGGGTAATTTTTACGTAATTTTTATAATTTTCGTAATTGGTTGTTGAGGATGAAAACAAAGAAATAGGTTGCCTGTATCTACTGACCTCATTATGCAGGAATAGTTAGTTCAAATGGCGTGTCTGAATCAGCACTAACATTCACAGTGCATGTGTATAGCCATTGTATTGGGCATTATGGGCAGGTATATTTTGGGTGGACGATTAAATAAAACTAGTTCATAATATCATTGTTAAATTTGAATTCCTTAAAAAGACAACTTTTTAATAATGCTAATCTTGTGTGACAATCATGTAATGGTTAAGTAGTCAGTAATTTAATGAATGTTAAAGCAAAATTTGATTTGTATCTGACCAGTTTAGACCAGGAGCCCAGGGGTGTCAGCATAGTTGGAAAGTTAACCAATTTCTGTGTATATAGTAATGTTCTATGTGCCTGTCTATGTAGGAGAATGGGCATCTGCCGGTCCCATTGTGGTGGGTGTGGTCAGGAAGGGCATAAAAAGGGCCCCAAAAATTGAGCTAGATCAACTTGTGAATTAACCCAATGAAACCTATCAGAATATATTCGGCATAGTTCAAGATAACATGAATGGTCAATGCCAGACATTTCCAGTGGTGGGGGGTGCGTGCCAGACGCAAAAAACAGGTACCCCAAAATTAAGCTAGATCAGCTTGTGAGTTAACCCGATGAAACCTATTGGAAAATGTTGGGCATAGTACCAGGTATCAGGAATGGTCACCGCCAGACATTTTTAATGGTGGGGTATACCTGCCAGACACCCCCAAATACCCCGCCCAAAAAAATGACCTAGATCAGCTTGTGAGTTAACCCGATAAAACCTACTAGAAAATGTTCGGCATAGTGTGTATAAGAGACAGCAGGTTCAAGATAACATGAATGGTCAA